AGTAAAACTTGGAAACTCCATGGCCCACTAGCAAAAATTCATCATAGTCAGATGTTTTAGTGTTTTTTAGGATTTCTGGAAATCCTATGGAATAAAATAACGAATTCGACCTTGGATTCAACTAAATAATAAAATACATGTATCCCCAAAATTATAACCCCCTAAATAAATTAAGTACGCCACTGAATTCTCGAGAAAATCGTTGTTTATCTGCCTACCTCGTCTGCATTGAGAGAGTTGATGAATTGATGAATAATCATAAAAATATATCGCATTCCAGTTACGACTGTTGAAAACAATATTCAGACTTTATAGATTTATATTCTATGTACGTCTCACGATTCAAATTTCAAATTGATGCTTAGTTTCAGATACGAGCAGCACACTGTTTGGCATTCATGGTCCTTCCTATAACACACGAAATTCAAAATGTAGCAGATGTCTACTGGGAAGACCACTATTCGAAAGGAGAGCGAATATGAAGCAATTCAGTTACGGTTGTTGGAAATATTATTCAGGTATGTTTCAGATTCAACATCAGTTCTAATTCTCATGGACTTTCTGATATGTGATATTTAGTTGCAGATCCGAAAAGCAAAGTGTTCGATTCTTGTCAATAAATTGGAGAAAACAATCCAGTCAAGACGGACCGAACAGAAAATCCGCAAAAAGCACTGCCAGAGTATACTTTTAAGAATTCTGATCCTTATGTTCGTACGGAAGGCGATATATTATTGAATTCATTTCCAGATTCTCAAGCAAACAGATAGACAGATATTCACCTTTATGTCTCTATGGAAACACGACAGGTACCCTTACGAGGGGAGAGTATCAACTCGGCGTTTATAAACCCTCTCTGCAAAGGAGGTCGGCGCATGGTGGGTTAGGTATATACAGTGTTTTTCATTGCAGAGAAAATCGTTGTTTATCTGCCTACCTCGTCTGCATTGAGAGAGTTGATGAATTGATGAATAATCAAAAAAAATATATCGCATTTCAGTTACGAATGTTGAAAACAATATTCAGACTTTATAGATTTATATTCTATGTACGTCTCACGATTCAAATTTCAAATTGATGCTTAGTTTCAGATACGAGCAGCGCACTGTTTGGCATTCATGGTCCTTATTATAACCCACGAAATACAAAATGTAGCAGATGTCTACTGGGGAGACCACTATTCGGAAGGAGAGCGAATATGAAGCAATTCAGTTACGGTTGATGGAAATATTATTCAGGTATGTTTCAGATTCAACATCAGTTTCAATTCTCATGGACTTTCTGAATGTGATGTTTAGTTGCAGATCCGAAAAGCAAAATATTTGATACTTGTCAATAAATTGGAGAAAACAATCCAGTCAAGACGGACCGAACAGAATATCCGCAAAGAGAACTGACCAGAGTATACTTTTAAGAATTCTGATCTTTATGTTCGTACGGAAGGCGATATATTGAATTCCTTTCCAGATTCTCAAGCAAACAGACAGATATTCACCTTTATGTCTCTATGCAAACACGGCAGGTGCCTTCACGAGGGGAGAGTATCAACTCGGCGTTTGCAAAGGAGGTAGACGCATGGTGAGTTAGGTATCATACATTCCATACCAAAACCAGGAGATATTTTATATGACCACAACATGCTTATAGCTGCAGCCCCAAGAAGCCCTTTCTGATAATAATGTTTGCAAATTTGGAATTATCCTTCAAAACAGCTCCTGTGGTTACCGTGGATTTATAGTAGATATCATCAATGGCCCAACCTCAGCAAGGTTAGTTCTAGAATCTTGAAGGATTTTTTATAGCACCACAGATATATTGAAAACCTGAAAACTCTCACAGGTACCTTCTTCATGAACGGTGCTCCACTGCAACAATAATAGCAAATTCTCATCATCCTATATGTGTGTGATTTGTATCCACATTATGTGTACTCATTTTTATAAGGACAATATACAATATACTTACCTACATCAAGTTAAGGTAGGTAGTATCCTAGATTTGGTGTTCGTCTATATCTTGTGAAGTTAGTTTTTTATCATCATTTTGATGAAATCTGAGTAATCTGGAGTTCCACAACATAAAACTTTGTTCAGATGATCTAGATGATTTTTGTAAGTGATTATAGGTAGATAATTATTTCTTGGTATCATTTTGTTATACTGAATTCATCTGAATAAAAATATCTATCTATATATTTTATGTTCTGGAACTGAATTAATTGAATAATAATTTTTGAAAATGAATGTAGACATTGACAAAACATGTGTTTCACTGTATAAGTACAATGCATTATAATGGATTAATGAATTAATATTTGGTTCAAAGACCTACTTGTGTCTCTCCAAAGAAGCACTAACAGAAGGATCTACCAGTTTACTTCTCCCCTCGGTGCTCATGTATAATGTTTTCTCTCCTCCCCTTACATTACATTGAGGTAGTTGTGGAATAAAAATATGAACTTTAAAAACCTACAGGAAAATCAATACAAAAACACAAAAAATAGGTATTTGAAAGAGAAAGGGACATACTTATTTTTCCTAGTCCTAGGTTCTGGAGACTTCATCAGAAACTTACCATGCAAAATATGAACTGTTGATCATTTCAATCATGTTCTTTCAGATGGACACTACGACAAATAGTTAATAATCAGTGATACTATATATCTATGAATCACAACTTTACCTTGTTTTCATTAATTGCAGCAATGAAAGTGGAAAAAGGTAAAGGATATAGGATTTTTTTTCAACTTTTTGTAGTAGGTACATATTCATACATCCAGTGATGCTCCACGATTATCCATTTTTCCATCCAACTGAACTCATTTTTCATTTTCAGAAAAGACTTCTTGAGTTTACTAGTGCAACCATCAACAGAACACAGTTTATTTCTTGGTTTTTGAGTGATATGTTGATTCATGATTTATAAAATAATGTAGAATTGTGTCGGTAATTAATATGAAGTTCTTGTCCTGCACTCAAGAAAATCATGAAAAGAAAATCATGAAAAGAAAATCATGAAAAGAAAATCATGAAAAGGAAATCAAAGTAATTTGTAGAATGAATCACAAGAAATATCAAATAAATGAACAGAATAACAAACAATAGCAAAAATGACCTTGAATGCCCTGATAAACTGGTTCAAATGTGCCCACCAGATGACGTATCGGAATCATCACCTTGCCAATTCGAACTTATCAGTAGGTGCGTTTTATTGACAAGATTCTTCCATGTCGTTTTATTGAACGAAATTCTTGAACTTGTCCAACTTTTCATTCCGCCTTCTCATACGGAATAACAGGAAGACGATCGTGGAGGGAATGTACGAAATGGCGGAAATGGCGGTATTTCAGATACTCTAACCTCGACATCTGACTTGAAAATTGCCGAAAAGTGAACTCGCCTCAGGAAATATTATGGAATTTTTCGCTATTCTACTCAAAATAATATCAAACACTTCTGGACTCCTGAAATGACTTCTGAATGTTGATAAATTAATTCGCGGTTGGTATTACTTCTTCATAATAATTTTGAATTTTTGGGATGATAATGCTAGAAAATCTGAAGTCAAGTATTCCTGTAGATAACATCAGAAGACTCATACAAGTATGAAACCCTTCCTAGTATTAAGGGGTCCATTTCATATAAATATCAATATATTTTGCCTTCTAATCGATGCAACTACTAAGGAGGATAACATGAAAGCGGGAACAACATCCATTATCCATTATTATTATAATAATGTACGGATAAACAGCAAGATCCCGGAATAATATCATTATTATATAACCTAAAAAAGATCAGCTGAATGTCACAACTCTCAAAATAAATTACATCGTTTTATTGGTCGTCAATTCTACTGCCACCAGTGGGAAACCAAAAAAACGCACCTAGTTGTGACAAGCGTGTCCACACTTTAAAGGGCGTGAAATGAGATATTCGAGGCACTCTGATTTTGACGTTTTTTTGTATATCAGAGTACGGACACTATGACAAGCACTGACAATCAGACACAACCACAAATAAATTGATGGAAAAAGCGGGAACTGACAGTACACGGACGTACATGACATAAAATTCAAAGGACGACTACATCCTAGTGGATTTTGAACCACTTCTTGGATACCAAGATACGAGCAAGATATTATCAGAGCACAGAACAAGAACGCTTAACAAGTGCACCATTTATGTTAGGTATTGAAAATGATCTTCCGATGGCCGGGTTCAACCAACAATGCCCTTTAGCAATGTGAACGGCGATCTATAGTGATTCGAGCGCTGAAGTCCATTTATACCTACTTCCTTATGTCTTGGAGAACCTTTATTATTTATCCGTATGTCTTGGAGAACCTATATTATTTATCCTAACTGAAATCAGCTGTTATTGTAGCCATATCATTTGTTTATTCATCAATTACTTATTACCTACCACTCTTGTATAAGTGAAATTGTTCCACACTAAATAAAAGTATGTTTCTTGAAATTTATCAGTTTTTACCCCATTCTGAACTTTTGTGATAAACAAATATTCAACTGAACAAATATATATATACCTACATATAAGAGACTAATTTCATAAGAATACTATATGTATTTCGTTGATATATATTATGTACCTACTAACTTGATATCGACCTCCATTGAGGTCCTTCAGCCTCATCATTCAATATTTCGAGAAGAGATAATTTTCTAATCAATTTATCGTACCCTTTTACCCAATCTTGGAGACGCTATGCACTCTCATACAAAAATCGAAGACAGAGAAAGATATATGGATGTACTCTTCCCAGGACTTGTGGAGGAAGGAAGATGCGAGGATCCTTTATCTGAGCCTGAAACATATTCTTGTCCTTGTCTGGCAAAACATATGATTTGCTTCAAAATCGTTTGTGGTTATGTTTTATTGTCACTGCTTGTCTAGTGTCAGTACTCTTATATACAAAAAAACATCAAAACAGCAATGTCAAGTACATTTAGGAACTCTAGTCTGAGCCTACAACTCACCTATCGCTCCTCCCACCGTTCCGAACAGCACACACCCCCTCGTCGGCGTCGACGTCTCCCCCACGTTCTGCATGACCAGCGACCCGTGCCGGAATACGTTCACCATGTCGCCGACGTGGAACTGACCCACCTCGTGCATCTGCGACCGCTCTTCGTCCGTGGTGGCGGCGCCATCTTTCTGGCACACGAACACGTTGTAGCTGTTCTCGGCGCCGAGAAAGACGTCGTCGTCGAGGATCTCGACGGCCGTCATCCAGTTGGGGTTGTAGTCGCGCGCGATCTCCTCGAAGCTGCCCTCCATCGTCTTGTACTGCAAAAGCAATGATCCAAATAGTATTACACTATTAGATAGTGCCAAAAGAGAGGGAGAGAGAGAGAGAGGCATTGATGACAGCTGAATGAGGGGGAGTTCCTCTCGCTTTTGAGTTGAATAGCCCCACTAGAGAGTCTAGGTTGGGATGTGGATATAATTCACTAGTCAGTGTGCGATCTCCTTGAAGCTGCCTTCCATTGTCTTGTACTAAAAAAAAAAAAAAAATTTGTTCTAAAATTTGTTCTATCCGTCATTCGGTTGCCCCCTTACGAGCAACCCTCAAAAGTCTTCGAAAGTCTTGTGCGAGCAAGGAATGACGGGGGCCTTACCTTTTAACGTGTGATCCCAAACACTTTCTTGGGCCATCAGAAAAATTTCTGCAGTCGACGGGGATCGAACCCACGACCGGCAAGCGAATGCGAATTAGAATATAGACACTCTGTCCGCACGGCTACCTGGCCACCCTACTGCAAAAACAATGATCCGATAGTATTACACTACTAGATAGTGTGTAAAGAGAGAGAGAGGCATTGATGACAACTGAATAAGAGGGAGTTTTTCTCGCTTTTGAATTGAATAGCACCACTAGAGAGTCTAGGTTGGGATGTGAATATAATTCACTATTCAATGTGCGATCTCCTTGAACCTGCCCTCCATCGTCTTGTACTGCGAAAACAATGATCCAATAGTATTACACTACTAGATATTTTGTAGAGAGAGAGAGGGTCATCGATGACAATTGAATAAGGGGGATTTGAGTCGAATAACAGCACTAACGAGTCTAGGTTGGGATTCAGTTCACTAGTCAATGTGCTTGATTATGATTGCTCCTCGTCAATGCCGCTCTTCTCCTTCTGGCACACGAACACGTTGTAGCAGTTCTCGGCGCCGAGAAAGACGTCCTCCATCGTCTTGTACTGGTGAACTTTTTTTAAATAGAATCATCACATTCAAGTCGTTTTTATTTTCAAAGTAGATCAATTTCTAATTTTCGGGGAGACAATAAACCAGGGATGCACAAAACCTAAAGGGAACAGGGGCCACTCGGGAAAATTATAAGCCAAGTAGGGGAGCAACTACAAAAAATACATATTAACACAAATATGTATATTTATAAATAGTATGAATTACTACAAATGATATGGCTGTCATTGCCAGAATTGATTTGTGTCCTGAAATAACTATTTGTATTTAAAGGACGAAACATGACAGTATAACTACAAAATCAATTGATCTTTGTCTTTGTACTTGAAGATACATATCTTACAAACAATTACAAAAATTTTAATAAAATGAAAAGTTGACTATTCGCGCATTCCTAACTCCTGGCTTAGATTGAAGGTTAGACATGTTCTCCCATAGTTTTTATGTCATCACAACGTCAGATGATAACCTTGGCTACCGCGAATCGACTTCAATAGATTTTTACCTACTTTCATAGTTTTTCGAATAATTTCGTTGGCAGGCCGCATAAATGTCGACCTTACGTCGAAAGTAGGTCGCATGCGGCCAGCGGTTTGTGCATGCCTGAAATAAACTGTGACGTACATTTCGAATCTAGTCTGAATATAGCTGATAATGAGGATTAAACAGGAGAATATAGCTAACGAATAAAAAGAATAGAAGAACAGTTGGCGTCGTTGTTGTTTATATCATGAATAATAACGATGATCAACTAACTAACAAAACATATACCAGGAATTACTGTCTGATCATTCATGTCATTCCTACTAGAAAATTAATTATACTTTATATATTATTTGTATGAAATGTATCAATGAAGAAGATAATGTAATGCAATAACTGAAATAAATAAATAAATAACAACTATACAATGTAGACATAGGCTACCGAATAACTGGACGTCAAAAATCGACACAAGTAAAACTGGTAAACAAAAAAATTCATGAACACAAAATCAGATCAGCTCTTGGTGTGCCTGGTGGTATTTTGTGTGGTGTGGACGGGCTCAAAGTATTATTTGCTGTTACAAGATGAAATTCTTTGAGCTATTTTTCATTTTCGGTCCCTCCCTCATAATGATACACAGGTCATGTCACTCATTATTCATCTTGCTCAAGGAATATACATATGGATAACGGACCAACCTTCTATTTGTCTCAACTTGTATATGCTGGGCTTATCAGATAGGAGAGTAGAAAGTAACAAACTTATGTATATGCTTCATAAAATACTGAGTTCTCTAATAGGAGCGCCATAATCAATTTCAGAATCCCTAATGGATCCAATTTCGTACAGCAGGATCTAGGACAGCATTCTTCTCTGAATAGAATGCATAATCTCTGTTAACAGATATTGTTATAATGGGAGCATCCCGCGATGCCCAATTCCCACGATGCCCAATTCCCACGATGCCCAATTCCCACGATACCCAATTCCCACGATGCCCAATTCCCACGATGCCCAATTCCTACGATGCCCAATCTCATGTCGACGATTACGAAGATTGCCGAAGAGCGCAACGTTGCCAGGTTATGAGAAAAAAATCAGAAAACACAAGATTCCTACCATGCCCACTTTCCATAGATTCCCACGATGCCCAATTCCTACGATGCCCAATTCCCACCTTCTTTGGATTTCCACCAAAATGGAGGTGGGCATGGTGGGAATTGGGCATCGTGGGAATGCATAAAAGGTGGGCATGGTGGGAATCTGAAAGAGGTGGGCATGGTGGGAATTGGGCATCGTGGGAATGTATGAAAAGTGGGCATGGTGGGAATCTGAAGAAGGTGGGCATGGTGAGAATTGGGCATCGTGGGAATCTATGAAAAGGGGGCTTGGTGGGAATCTCGTGTTTTCTGATTTTTTCTCATAACCTGGCAACGTTGCGCTCTTCGGAAATCTTCGTAATCGTCGACATGAGATTGGGCATCGCAGGAATTGGGCATCGTGGGAATTGGGCATCGTGGAAATTGGGCATCGTAGGAATTGGGCATCGCGCTACGCACCCGTTATAATCTGAACATAGACATTTTCTCAATATCTCTACATAGTTTTTGGATGTATGACAAATTGATGTTCATCAAGATATCATACAGGACGTGGAAAGAAATTCTGATTTGAGAAAACCCAATCACGAATCTGTGATTAGAGGTCTATAAAAATAATAAGTTTCCATTGTTCTAGTTTGAACCCCTTGATTGGGTATAAAAGTATTGAAAAGAAATATTCTCAGACATACTATAAACATGAAAAAATTTATACATATGCATAAAGAAATACATTGGGAATTCCCACCTATCTCTGTGTACTTTCATTATCTTTTGCTTACTAAATGATGTATAACTTGCCTCACCACGTAGCTACAATGTGGATGCTATTATGGTACTTTGTACTGCATGCAACTTAAAATCGTAAATAAATAAATGAATGAATAAATACACTTTTTTTCAAATGTCGATTTCCTTGTTTTTTTTACAACAGTATCTATCTGCTTCTCCTGTGTGAAAGTTGGCCATAACAGGAATTTAACATATCCCATTCTTTCGATTTGTCCCTATGAATAGAAACATTGATGATATAATATGTGATTAATATGGTATTATCATCCCAACCATACCTGAAAGGAGAACTTTTGTCCGATTTGATCAACTCAGATAGTACCCTGATTTTTTTCAATAAACAATATATTGGTGAGAGAAAAACAGAAGGAGCAATGGGGAAAGGGGCCGCAGGGCCCCAAGAATTATTAAGCTTAGGGCCCCAGAAATCTTAGATTCACCGCTGTGCGGAACTGACGAATTTTGTAATAACTTCGAAATCGGGCAATACAGACACCCGTTCAAACATTGGTCTAAAAATGCATCCATTCCGAAAGTCACGGTTATCTGAATTCATACCTGCAAGAGCGTCATGCTGCGCATCAGATCCCCGATTAATATGAAATCGCCCTTCGTTTTCAGGAAGAGGGATATGATATTGTTGAAGTGCGAGCACTCGAGCCGCAGTTCCTTCTCGGCGGTCCACTCGAACAGTCGGACGGTGCTATTGATGCTGGCCAGGAGTTTGCCGTTGAATTCGGAGAGGGAGTAACAGGCGCCTTTGATTTCCTTCTCTGATACTTGGGCCAACTTGTTTTCGCTCCAATGGAATACCAGGAGCCTGCCCTGTTTTGGTTCCGATTCTTCAGGATTAACATTGGCGGTGCCTGAAAAGTTGTCATTATGGCCACGTTTATATCGTGTCTTGGTAAGCTGACTAATGACTATATTTTGACTAAATCCTCTTGGTCAGTTGGGTATAAACTGTATACTTGGTAAAGTTACCAGCTTGGTTTGGTACCGAAATTTGTTGCGTACCAGACTAAAATAGTATGATGACCAAGACGGTGTAAACATGTTGGGTCTACTTTTGTATATCCTTGAATTGACTTGAGTGCAAGTGGCAGTTATTTCATGAGGTCTCATAATAATATTTCATTCAATTTTAGCTAATTTCGTATCCTGCTAAAAGGTTTTATTCTTAATTTACGAAATCAAGTGGAGTTCCACAACCTAACCTCAAAAAAAAAATCAAATCAAAAGAACGTTAGTCAACTGAAGATACATGGTGTAAACATGCGTTAACTAAGGTATTTGGTCTGAATTTCGTTAGATCTCCTTGGTAAGCATACCAACTATCCAAACGGTATAAACGTGGCCAATGAAAATGAAGAGTTGAAAAGGAATATTCTCAGATAAATCATGAACATATAAAAATGGATATATATTTATATAAAGCAATACATTGAGAATTCGCATTCTCTATGTGATGAGAATATTTACTCTTTTTCAGTTAATTCAATAGAAAACAACTACTTTCCTGGCTATATGCCACGACGAACATTGAATTATATCTATTGAACACACACGTGTGTGTTCAATAGATATAATTCAATGTTCGTCGTGGCATATAGCCAGGAAAGTAGTTGTTTTCTATTGAATTAACTGAAAAAGAGTAAATATTCTCATCACATAGAGAATGCGAATTCTCAATGTATTGCTTTATATAAATATATATCCATTTTTATATGTTCATGATTTATCTGAGAATATTCCTTTTCAACAATTTCATACCCAATCAGGGGGTTCAAACTTGAACGATGGAAACTTGTAATTTTTATAGACCTCTTATCGCAGATTCGTGATAGAGTCTCAATTCAGAATTCATTTCCACGCCCTGTATGATGAATGTCAATTTATCATACACCCAAAAGCGAAAATGAAGAGGTTAACAATTCTAACCATTTCAATATCAAGGTTGGATTCGAACCAATAGCTCTGTCTGTCTCATTATCGTTTTTAATTCACCCCAAAGAAGAATCCGTGTCAAATGTGACTACATCGCTTTACATCTTTAACAAATAGTCACCTAATTTTTCGTCACATAACACGTGGTTGGATCTCACTGATATTAGATACTCCTAATAATGCATATTACGCCATCCTTCCATGGGATGAAAATGTGTATTTTGTTGAGCAACTGATTAGAGTTTAGTCAGAAACAATTGCAGAGTCACGTGCCGCACCTGCACTCATTTTTAAGGGAACTTCAAACACGCACGCCGCACGATGTGGAATCTTCTGCAATTGATATTGGATATACTATACTACTTGGGATATTTTGAATGATAATGACAATTTTCGAACAACTCGGCTACAATTTGCGACTTGATAACGTGTTGGCCGAGTTATGGCAAAGTTCGCGTAGCGGTGTTAACAATTAACTTCATCAAGATCGATATCGGATAGCAAGATGGCTCGTTCTGTTCGATCAGGCAGTGACTTTCAACAGCTCTGAACAGCGCATTGGCTCCTGGTGTGCAATGACAACACCTCTAAATGGAATGAAACATTTTTTCAAATGACAACACAGTATAATTTTTGAATGTGCAAAATTCAGTGCCAGTTCAGTAGCCTATTAGTCAATTCCCTCACTTATTGATGTTCAATTACCCATGATCAACAAATGGAAGTACAATGCAAGTTTTACTCTTAATTGAACTAGCGTATACCACATGATCGGCTAGGAATATTTGGTTGACGTGTATGCGCAGTGCGCATATCGTACTGGGCCAGCCTTGAATAATTTTAAAGATACCATATAAAATATGTCAAGAAACAGAAATAGCGGGTAAAGCTATAAACAAGCTCCTCAAGAACAACATTGTCCATCTCAAAAATCGTACACTCAACACGTTAGTTATATTCTATCTGAAATTGATAATAAGTTCTCATGATTTGAAAACTCTGACTACAATATCCAGAATTTGTCAATGTACAGGTGAGTTTTTTATTATTATCTTCAGTTCCCATTGAAATTACATATCATTGTCGCATTGGCCACAGTATATAACCTCTTATGCTTTGCTTGAAGTTTGCATTGGAGATGTGATTCAAAAAAATGAAAATAGCATAGTGGACATGAGAGAACTCTCAGAAATGAGGGTTAATGAAGTTTCATTCAAAATTTCTCCATTTTCATTGAGAATCTTGTGTTGAAAGAATTGATAATGAATATTGAAGTTTCTGGAACATAATCTCAACTCAACACAAAGCAGCAACCCAAAAAATTAGAATATTTCAACTTCATTGAGTCAAATAATATTCAAATTCAGCAACAAAGCTGCATTGGGAACTCACCTTAACTTAAACTTGATTCAAGTATAAGTTAAGGTTGATAAAATTCCTATTAATATGATAACCTTAGAAATTGAAAATTTCAAGAATAAAATAAGAAGTTTACTCAAACAATGCATGTTTTATTCATTTGATGAATTTTTAAACTATAACTTCCAATAGGAAACTAATTTTAACATAACATAACTTTTAGGTATTACAGTGTCTGAAATCTTGTATTATTATATATTTTATCTTTTGTAATAGTAATTGATTATATTTTAACATGAATAAATGAAATGAAAAAAAAGTACATCTTTCAAATTTTTTAACATTTCCTATAGAAAGTATCTGAAATCCACTCACCGACGATAAAATACGGATTGGGATCGTTCCCCAGCTGACAGCTGATCAACGACATCGCATACTCCTGCTGCATCAGCTGGTGCGCGTGCAGCACCTCGAACGTGTTCTGATCGATGACCAGCAGGTTGTGCACCTCCGTTTCCTGCCCGTAGTCGGGCGCATTGGCGCCGCCCAGTAGGCCGCTGCCGCCCGATTTGCTCACAGCCAGCGAGCCAACGCTGCTGGAGATCGTGACCGACTGCGCCATGGTCGACGCGCTCTGCCGTGCCGGGTTCAAGCCTGTCGAGTCTTGGATGTCGATGCGGGCCGTTACCACTCCGAATGTCTGAGAATAATTGTTATCAGTTCCTTGATTGGGTTAGTGGATTTTTTTTTAAATTCTTGGTTACAGCAGCAGTATTCTGCGATTTTTCTAAACGCTATCATCTATACTAGAGTGCTAGCCATGAGCAATTGGGCAGCAGGCAGCTGCCGCCCGATTTGCTCACGGCCAGCGAGCCGACGCTGCTGGAGATCGAGACCAACTGCGCCATTATTATCATTATTTTATTAGTTCCTTGAACTGGCTGGACTGATTTTATTTATATCATTCATTCTTGATTGCAGCAGCAGTGTTCTGCTAGAGTTCCCTAATGTACTTGACACTTCAAGGATCTCTATGTTGTGCGACTTTCCTGAGGCGTTTGATTGCGTTTTATCACGCTGATGTTTAAGCTAGGGTGCAATGGTATCAGGTTAGGTCACGATATATCAATGATTTGACCGCAGTTCACAGTATTTTTTTGACGATACTACAATCTTATGGAGCGGCATGGATGAATTAGATGATTAGATTCAAAATGACCTCACTAAGATGGAATTGTAGTGTGACTGTAATTCATTGTACCACAATGTTAGCAAAACAAACATCCTCAGTTTTGGGTTTGCCTCTGTTGATGTAGTTAGAAAATAAGAATTTCACAAAATTTGTAGAAATAATTCACTGAATACATGTAAACTATTGTCGTCGACTGGGAAGTCGAGTAATTCGAAAATATCACTCTATATATAGAAAAACGGGGACTGACAGCAAAAGTCATTCGACATCCGTCACAATTTGTCTCTTCATTCAATTCAAATGCAAGAATCTACCGAAACTCAGGAAGATACCAGATCCTCCAGTCACGCGAGTGCGGTCGCTGTGGCCACATTTGCCTTCATCTTCTCCGGAAACATTCTTTGGTTTCATGCAAGAACAACCCATTTCTGGAAGAAATGAAGCAAAGGGAATTGATGTTTCCCTAAGACATTATCTAGGGTATAGTATACTATGTTGCCAGAGTATCAAAGGAATTAGGACATCAAATTGTCTGGACAATAACCATATTTTTCTTTGATTGAATCACATCTTTGCTACGGGGCGGCGTTCTGAGGCAATTCCTTAATCCTTATTGTGGTGTGTTTTATTTTATATTGGAAATATTGTTAGAGACGCAATTGCTTCTTTCAATCCCAAGGTCTGGTTTGACAAAACCTGAGATTATTAGAAATATAGTTAGAATATTCTGCCTATTGTTGAATTTCATAGCAGCCCCATCTGATTATAATCCCAAATATTTCAAAATATTCTAAATATCTATCCAATACCTGTGTCTGTTCCTGATAGGTAATCCTTCTAGCTGATTCCTGCAGAGGAACTGTTCTAATATGGAGTTTTTGAATTTCATCAATTGTTCCAATGGTAACTGATGTGTCTGTAGCAAGAGCCAAACTACAAATAAACAAGACATACTTATTTCAAAAAGAATAATTGATGACCAATCATTGAACATTACTAACTTTTATAGATTTCTGAAACACTTTCTTCATTCTCTATAATTTACTTTCAATTAATTATCTAGCTAAATGTTTTTCATCAGGCTACCAAAAGTCACATTTGTTGAAGCAGTTACACTTCCGAGTAACCTTATTTCAATTAATTAGGGGTTAACCATTGATAAACAGCAAAATTAGGTATTCATGACAGAACGGACTGACGATTTAAATATAAATTTTACAATTTTGACAAATATACTGATAATGGACCACTATTAACAAACCTGTTTCTCACCTGTCAGGATACGCTTCCGCATTGAGAGAACACATATGATTGACTTCCTTCATGTTCACATTAGAAAAAACCAGCTTATGATTAGAAGAATAAATGACCGTCGGTCGATCTGAGCATGCAAATACATTAGTCGTGCTGAGCGATCTGAACGTTTTCAACACTGTCGGCTGGGTGCCCAGAGTGACCTTCTTTTTGTCAGTCAATGCTCCAGAATCTTTGTGGAGGGAGAAATAAAACATTGATCCATCACCGAGAGCACACAATAGGTAATTATGGCCTTCGAAATTAGCCATTAGCACTGACCGAGGAATTATTTCTAAAATTGATACATACTTAGATTTCTATCATTTCAATATATTTTAGTACTAACCACCACCCAAAAGTTCTTTGGTTGCTTCTGACAGGTCAGGCAACCTAAGTATTCGAGCAGATATATCTGTCCACAGCCCTACAGCCACCAGATTAGACCTTGTAGCGTCTTCACCTAAGGGGGTAATGTCTAGACAAGCAACTTCGACATCTAGAGTTGTGTTCCTAGAATAGAAAAGTTAAAAAAGGTTCTACCAATTGAAAGCTGATAATCACCCTTTCAAAATCAGTTCGTTAGGATGTATTTCCAAATAATAGAGAGCTGATCCTGTAGAAACAATAACTTGGCAACTATTACAAGCAACGACACTGATATTTTTCTCAGTGGGAGCCTTCCATTCTGCAGACATAGTTTTATTCTGAGCAGACACCAGTCTCACAGAACTCGGCGTGACTTGGATGATTTGTTCATCGACAACGTTACCGCAATAGAACGTTTGCTGGTCAGAAGAGAAGCCTTCTATGTCTGTTTCTTCGACCTCTTCCCCATTCAGGCTCAAAACTCTCGTTTGTCCAACGAAAGACAGGACCAACGTGTTGTCGAGTTTGCTACCTATAGGAATATTTTGATCACTAAATATCAATTTGGTTGAACGTTACGAAAATGTGGGCAATCTCCCGGATGACAATGAAACACACATATAAAAATATTTGGATTTTTTATGCAAGAATGTGAAGATTTAAGTCAGTAGGTTGTACCCATCGAATCAAGTATGAATACTGTTAAATAGAAGAAAACATTGACAAAAATGAACCGAACCTATCATCACTCAAGGCAGTAGGACCACATCACATCCCAACCCCAAGCCCTTCATTACTCATGGGACCTCGCTCGGAACAGTAAATATATAGATATTTATACACCAAAGTAGTAAAGTATATCATTATTACCCAGGACCAAGATTAAATCCAGAGGCTTTAGCCGAGAGGTATAAGGTCCCATGGTATATAATATATATATATATATATAATAATATTCTTTACTAGCACGGTGTATATTTAATTTTTTTTCACAACTAGCAATATATTTCAATCATGTTAGTCACTGTGAAACCGAAATATGGACCTATAATAATGATATAGGTTATTCAAAATGTTTACCTAATATAAATCAAAAGTATACATAATGGTATTGAATAAACGAAGATAAGCTTATGAAGTATAACTTGTTGTAAGGCAAATAAAATAAAAATTATAATTATTAAATCAATTGATCGATTCGAGACAAAAGTTATTGATAAATAAAAATGTATTTCTCGATTTTCATTCAATCATTGAATATAAATACAATTCAGTAGTGTTTCAAGTTTCGTAGATATTGATATTAAATATTAACCAGAGAAGCAAATAAACTCCTATGAAAGCAATAATTTCCAATTTGAATTAAAATCTACTAGCCATGACCATGACAGCATATGACAAAGTCGTTATTGATAAATACCAAATACCTACTAGATTCAAGTGCCATTCCTGCGAATCTCGCATCAGAACAGTGAATTCGAGGCAATTATAACAGAGGTGGCTATGTCTTTATTGACTAGTAGTTCACAAAATGGCGAAAATATTATGGTAGTAAAAAAAAAAACTTTACGCCTCGAACAGGAGTAAATAATGGTAGGTTTAATAGCTTGTGGTGGAAAAAATTATAAATAGAAGAAAACATTGACAAAAATGAACCGAACCTATCATCACTCAAGGCAGTAGGACCACATCACATCCCAACCCCAAGCCCTTCATTACTCATGGGACCTCGCTCGGAACAGTAAATAGATATATATTTATACACCAAAGTAGTAAAGTATATCATTATTACCCAGGACCAAGATTATATCCAGAGGCTTTAGCCGAGAGGTATAAGGTCCCATTGTATATAATATATATATATATATAATAATATTCTTTACTAGCACGGTGTATATTTAATTTTTTTTCACAACTAGCAATATATTTCAATCATGTTAGTCACTGTGAAACCGAAATATGGACCTATAATAATGATATAGGTTATTCAAAATGTTTACCTAATATAAATCAAAAGTATACATAATGGTATTGAATAAACGAAGATAAGCTTATGAAGTATAACTTGTTGTAAGGCAAATAAAATAAAAATTATAATTATTAAATCAATTGATCGATTCGAGACAAAAGTTATTGATAAATAAAAATGTATTTCTCGATTTTCATTCAATCATTGAATATAAATACAATTCAGTAGTGTTTCAAGTTTCGTAGATATTGATATTAAATATTAACCAGAGAAGCAAATAAACTCCTATGAAAGCAATAATTTCCAATTTGAATTAAAATCTACTAGCCATGACCATGACAGCATATGACAAAGTCGTTATTGATAAATACCAAATACCTACTAGATTCAAGTGCCATTCCTGCGAATCTCGCATCAGAACAGTGAATTCGAGGCAATTATAACAGAGGTGGCTATGTCTTTATTGACTAGTAGTTCACAAAATGGCGAAAATATTATGGTAGTAAAAAAAAAAACTTTACGCCTCGAACAGGAGTAAATAATGGTAGGTTTAATAGCTTGTGGTGGAAAAAATTATATTGTATTTCCATAGATCACAATAATAGAAAATTCTCCAATGTTGAACCACTGCCCTAAGTGTCGAATAAGAATAGTATGTATGTAAAATGATTGATACGTCTCTGCAAAACATTATGGAAGTTCTGAAAGAATTCACATATGAGAAATTGGTCACATTTTCTGCGACACCTTGTATAATTATAATCAATTGAGAAGATGTCAAGTGTATAAACAACAAGAAAATGTATCATCTTCAAATACATCAAATTGTGGTACAAAACCAATTACCGATATCTGATTATCCATTGAGTCATATCAATCATCGACGATCGTCCTGCCGACAATATGGAAGAGAAGTTCTTGATGAATCACCACAATATCAAGAAGGTCAACATCCACCTGAACGTTCACAGAATCAATCGTCTACTTCAGCCTATCCCTCCAGTTCAACTAACATAAGAACTTCATCATCTCGAAAAAGAATATCATCTCCAGAAAGAATATTATCATCAAGAACGACACTTATGTCCACGGAAATCTCTGCTATCATCCCTTCACTAGCAATACCAATCAGACGAACTAGACAAGCCCAGTCAGCAGTCCTTTCGTTGTCTACCTCGAAAGTCTACCTCGAACAGCACTTTATCAAGACTCCTTCATCCATAGAACGGATAGGCTCTGGAATTCATTGCCAGTGGAAGTATTCCCAACAACATATAATCTCCAAAAGTTCAAAAAAAATTCCAATACCTACCTCCTGTCCCTATCCTCCCTAGGAACGCACGATGTTCTTCGAACATTATATGGATTCCCTTTCGTGCGCTCCAAGCGATAAAAGGGAATTGATACGTGAAATTACAGTAGCGGCCAAGAGATCTCCCGTTTTAAGAAGATCGAATCGTATTCGGAACGTTTAGGATGGTGATCATTCAAATTATTGTGTTTGATATTATAAGGAAGGGGAGAGTGTTATGTATCTTCCTGTATGTATATATTGATGGGACATGTCATGTATGACAAGCAACGGTATGTCAGTAATGAATCATCTATCATCTAATTGATATATTATTGAATAAATATAATATATAACAGTAAGAAAATCACGAACTAATTCAGGACCTACGCTTATTACATCATCAAAGCTCCGCTCTACGTTGAAACGCTCTCGTAGCTCATTACACTACTGCAGTCGACTGGCCGATCGGTGGTTTCTTGTCTCTCGACGCATCGCCCGGTTCAAGTTGAAATTCTCGCGTATAAACGTCAATCACTGGTACAGCCGAGCTTGGTTGGCCGAACGTACTGGCCGCATAATGTTCTGTGCCCCGTATACCGACCTAATTATTATAGGGATTGTCATTTAATGATTTAATTATTATAAAATGAAAAAAATTTGTTGGTACAGCTTCTTTATATTGGAGAGGGTCCATCCGATGATTTTGACACGGGCCTCGAACGGTATAGTTATGCCACTGGTCTCTCATGCTCTTCAAATAAGCATCAACCTTCCCATCCTAGGACCCCAAAGAGGACGCATAGGTTAACTCAAGACCAACAGTAGTGGTGAGCCTAGATCCTAGTTTCTCTTTCTTCACTTGAATTGAATTTAGATTAGCATAATAACCAGATAAGAATCACATTGAGAATAATTCTAGTAATTTTCCATTAATTTCTATGTAACTACCTCATTATACCAGATATTGTGGTTGAGAATTTGCCATTTCCCATTTTTCAACATTTTTAATCTTGGAAACTATTAGACCTAGAATACTGAACTACAGCTCAAACTGTCAGAAATTTTGCATACTTGAAAAGAAGTAAACATGATCTTTCTCATCAGAGCCTTGGCATGTGGCTTCTTTTGAATAAAACTAAAAAAAGTGTGCTGAAAATCTGGACAAATATTATCCAAGGGGACCCAAACAGTATATCAAAAATGCAAGTTTACCGCAATTATTGCAATTTTGATTGTAATATATGTCTGGCCTATAAAAAGTGTTTAAAAGTGTTTTTAACCGCCAGCTTAGTTGCAAAGCAACCCTCGAAAGTCAGAGACTAAGTGATGGCAAAACATAGAAGGGAATGAAATTTACCCATAGAAAACTCCATATTCTATACGACTGTTAAAAAAAGAAATGTATAGTTTCCAATTAACAAAATCAATACGACTGTAAAAAAAAGAAATGTATAGTTTCCAATTAACAAAATCAATGATACTTCTGAATTGTCATACTCAAAAGCTTGTTATGTATATGTTCGTTCAATATGACCGTGCCAATCCAGTTTCTCTTTAGATTACATTTAATAGAATGAATAAAAAGATGTTGAGCAAATTGAATAAAGAATATTTCCATCTTACCAGCCAACTGTAACGCCCACATTCCTTTGATTCCGGGCAAATCAATTGAGGCGTGTTCTTGTATCCCGATACCATTTCTGATGATCCTCAACGATCCCTCTTTGAATGCCCCCGAGCAAGTAACAAGTTGTCCTTGCCCCTGTCTCTCGAGATCTACCACGCACATGTCCAGAATGGGAGCGAGATTCGTGAAAGTTTCCATAACAGACACGTAAGAGCAACTTTCGTCGGCCTTTGTGTTTAGTTTGATCAGCTGAGAATCGCCGATTCTCGATCCGATGAACAAGACGCCATTGTCTAAGTAAGTTATGCATTCCGGAGTTGCTATTTCTCCCAGCAACTCGACTTTCAGGTCTTTCACCACTTCGTTGCCATCCGTTCTGGTTTCAGTTTCGATGAAGAGCATGAACAAATGGCCAGCCATATCGCCCAATAAATATCTGAGACCTCCAGGATCTACTTTTGCATAACATATAATTGTACTCTGCTGCAAATTTCGTAAAAATTGCTAGTTAATTTTCAATCAGAAGTCCCAGAATTTTGTTAATAATGAAATAAAAAAAAATAGGACATGAAGGTGTCGTTTTGTAGGGAAATATTTTGAAATATCTCATCACATAAGCTGAGGAAAAATTAACCAGAGATCCTCATTCTTAGCCACAAATTATTAGCAATCTGTTTATTGTTACTTCTTTTGACAATGAATAACGTCTATTGAGGCAAAGCAAAACTTACTTTGATAACGGGAGGTGCTACAACTACAGAAGTGATACCATCATGATATAATATACTTTCCTGACCAATAATAATAGCACCTCCCAAAGGCGATGGTACAGGTATGATAATTGAAGCTTCAGTTTCAACATTGTCTTGTCTCCATGGTATTTTAACAAACTCCTTTTCTCTCATGGATATTTCATGTGTTTTTACATGTCGCCCATTGACATCTTGATGTATTAAAATCAAAGTAGGATTAGCACAGCCATGTAAAAATTCAACATCATGAACTTGCTGCTCATCCATTCTGAAAATATTATACTTCAGTCCATTAACGCTTCAAATTGGATTATTGTTGTGGAAATAGCTATTTGTATAACAAGGGAGGAAAGTTCCACTTTTCTTCCCGCGGATACTGCCCAACGCGTTGCGGAGGGCATCAATCATTCAAGGAAGGAAAAGGCACTTCAACCCCATGTTATACATATGATTTTTGCGCCTTCTCAAATAACAATTCACTTTTGAATAATTTATTCATGGAACTAACAAACAAAATGTATTAAAGAAATAAAACTAAGAACTCGTTACAGTATAACTTAGGCACGTTATTTTCATTCTTGCATCCTACATATCCTTAATTTGTGGTAGAGTAATTGCAACAGATACAGGGTGATCAGAATTCAGAATCTTGAACCACGTTGTGTATACCGGGTGACACAGGAGACATGTAATAGCCTGTAGTTTTTTTATTTGAAGAGACAAATTTGAAATTCACAAGGGTTATATTATCGATGATGGTGCTTTCCTTGAACCCAATGACAATTTTGTTCAACCACCTGTTTGATCGGAAGTAGACCCAACTTTTTTTTTTCAAATGGCACCCTGTATATTTCTGTACCCATTCTGTACATTTTATTGAAATACATGAAGTTTGCTGTGGCCCGAATGCAATGACATTTCGATGCTTGATAGGCTTAGAAATCCAAAGATCATTACTTAGATGACATTATCAGAATATTTTCCATACCCTAATCGGTCCCAGAAGATTTAAAATAATTTCATTGAGTTTAAAAAAATCTACCGAAAATAACTCACGATATTGAAAAAACTAAGATAGGCACTCAGGTTTTTTCATTTGGCTACTCGTGAAGAACCTATTTGTCTTTCTTTTTTGCCATGTATCCATTTAGATACATGAAACTGAAATTGTTGTTATTTTCGGATGATTTTTTTAAACTCAATAAAATTATTGGCAATCTTGTCATTGTGTTCGGGCCACAGCCAACTTCATGTATTTCAATAAAATGGAATTAAACAGCCAATTAATGAATGAATATCAAATATATACATAGTTGAATAGAGAATTTTAAGGCGCATAAGATAAACAACAGAAATATACAGGGTGCCATTTGAAAAAAATAAGTTGGGTCTAGTTCCAATCAGACCGGTGGTTTAAAAATATTGTCACTGGGTTTAAGGAAAGCGCCATCAAATATAAAATTACAGGCTGTCACCCGGTATGTTTCAATTAAATATCAGTAGATCAGAAGTAAAGATAGGGACATGTAAGTCGCTTCAACCAATAATGAATAGATTAGGCCCAAAAGAATCCTAAATTTGAAAAAACTCGATTTTGAACACCCTATATATCTCTGTAATCATTTCCGCTAGATCACAAGTGTGATGCATTGATAGAATCAGCTCTTCAGGGATAATTTGAAAATGCAATGATATACAGGGTATTCCATTTGAAAAAAGCCAACTTTGATACATTTTGGGTTTTTGGCACATCCTGTACAGGACATGTAAGTCGCTTTGACCAATAATGAATAGATTAGGCCCAAAAGAATCCTAAATTTGAAAAAGCTCGATTTTGAACACCCTATATATCACTGTAATCCTTTCCGCTAGATCACAAGTGTGATACATTGATAGAATCAGCTCTTCAGGGAGAATTTGATAATGCAATGATATACAGGGTATTCCATTTAAAAAATGCCAACTTTGATACATTTTGTGTTTCTGGAACATCCTGTACAACATGAATCTATTTCTGAAATGTAGCGCTGATGGGTTCGTGTTCATCAAAAAAAAAAAAAAAAAAACAAATTCCTTATGTCACAATGCTTTATAGCCTGTATAATCGAATATAGTTTAGGTCGTCAATGCCGTAAAAGTTATTTCATTGATGACGTACCATGACGTCGCTGTTACTTTTCCTCCCTAGGGAGAAGAATTTAGGGAGGAAAAGTTAGGGAAAAAAGTTATAGGGAGAAATAGTACGACTTTGCTCCCTACAATAACGCCAGGAAATGTATACTTTGAATAGAGGTAGGCGGAAAAGTTATTTTGACTTCAGGGATTTGTTCGGAGCAGTGGCGGCTCATCAGAGGAGGTAACAGATACAGAGCCTCCTTAAGAATTCCCATAAATCGAATAGTTCGATACAGTTGTATAAAATATTACACCGAATAGCTAACTTATGTTCTTTATCGGTTTAATTTCTTGATAGCGAGTAGGATTTCAGAATTTATATATATTATCTACATAATATTTACCTAAAATTAGAAGCTTTCAGTTCATAATTGTCTTTATCTAATTGTATAATCTTGAATAAACCATCATAAAGCCTCAAACCAATAACTCTCGCTTTTGGATCAATCACTGCAAGTATTCCAGTTTCTGAGGGTTTTCCAATACGATCAGCAACATTTCCATGGGCTTTTGTAATGATATCAATGTTATCACCATCACTGATGCATTCCAAAATCATTGCATTGTACCTCATTGTCACAATGAAAAGTAAATCCTTTTTTTCATGCTGAAAAAATCGTTTTTCTGTCTGTGTATGAATCAAAATATAGTAATAGTCATCAAAAGATGAAAATTAGGGGAAACATTGCCCTTTGAAAGAGGGTATTAAACATATCAGTTTTACAAAGTGTATAGTCACAATAAATTTGAGATTTATTTCAACTGATAATGGAATGGATCATCCGGATCGAGCGACAATTCTGGACCAACGATTACAAATACAGGAAATACTAAAACACATGAGTAATGTAATACCACTAATTCAATTTTTAAGTTTAAATACCAACCCCCCCTTCCAAAAAAACAGTAGTTGGTTGGTATTGAAATAGTTATTTGTATGCCTAGGCCGTGAAATGCCATTTTGGCGTGCTGAAAGAAAATAAGCTATCCGTTTCCGGCCAAGGCGAGATAATCTTGAGGTCACCAAAAACTTACACGGCCATGGTATACACAGTCCAGTAGTTTGAAGAAATTAGATGGGCATTCAAAACAAGAAGTTCTTCCCATTAAAACTTTGGGAATTCACTCGATAAGAAACTGAGATGGGAAATTCACATTGACAATTGAATAACACATTGATGAATGTTTTAAGATTTGCATGTTTTGGTCTGGTACAGTCAATACTATGTACTTTTATTTTGGGGCGCCTCAGCTAATTTCAATTGTTTTCATTCTTCATAAAATATGCTTGAATGCATGAAGGAAGTACACCCTAGGCCTAGAGTGTTCTACAAAGTATTTGCTCCATACTCCACTGTGTTTGGCTCGATAATCCAATGAAGGTAAACAATATCTTTGTTTGAGACAAAAACTATTGCTGGCCGTGATTATTCAAAAACAAGTTATCCATACCGAGAAAAATGAATAAAATACAGATCAAGCAAGTATGTGAATCTTGAAAGCTTTCCTGGTCAAAATACTCAACTATAATATGGTGTATTTATATATCTCCAGCATGGCCAAATGCCAAATCTGCCGAAATCGGAAACATTCTGAAAATTAGGATGCCTTGATAATTGAACATTATCTATCCGTCTAAGATATTTTCATCGATACAGTGTTGCCCCTTCTATCAGAAACAACTAGCAACTTTGTTATTGTAAATAGAAGACCTTGTATTTTATTGCAATTTTAGATTCTTCCTGAAGAGCTGATTGCATCAATGAATCACACTTGTGGTCTAGCAGAAATGATTACAGTGATATAGGGTGTTCAAAGTCGAGATTTTTCAATTTTAGGATTTTTTGTATCGAAACTATTAATTATCGATCAAAATGGCTCACATGTCCCTATCTCAACTTTTGATTCACTATCTACTGGAATTTAATTGGAAAAAATACAGGGTGCTTCAAGATTCAGAAATCTGATCACCCTGTATCTGTTCCAGTTAAATGTCAGTAGATAGTTAATCGAAAGTTAAGATAGGGACATGTAAGCCGTTTTGATCGATAACAATTAGTTTGGACACAAAAAAAATCCTAAAATTGAAAAATTTCGATTTTGAACACCTTATATCTCTATAATCATTCCTGCTAGACCCCAAGTGTGATACATTGATGAAATCAGCTCTTCTGGGAGAATCTAAAAATGCAATAAAATACAGGGTGCTTCATTTAAAATAACGAAGTTGCTAGTTGTTTCTGATAGAAGTGGCAACACTGTGTCGATGAAAATATTTTAGACGGATAGAGAATGTTCAATTATCGAAGCACCCCAATTTTCAGAATGTTCTGTCTTTTTTTCGTTCTCCAGATACTCCTGATAGGCCATCCACCGTGGATAACCCTGTATTTATCAGTTCTACCAACCACATTTTAGTGGGTTTGGTGGGCAATAAATAATGTTAGCCTTCATTGTTTTTGAGCCTCATAACCTATTTAATGTTCCTAAATGTTCTTGACACTTCTATATTATACAAAAAACGTCAAAACAGCAGTGTCAAGTACATTCAGGAACTCTCCTCTCTATAAATGTTGATAATTGAGATGTTCTGCAATCACATTTATTTGCTTGTTCACCTCCGGAGCCGTTTTTCAATGTCATTTAGAGCAAGACACAATTTACTTGGATCGTTCTGTAATTTGACAGCCAGGAAAAAAATTAAATTGTTTTGCTCGCATTATTTATTGAGAGGAAGTAGATATATCTCAACTTTGACAGCTTTTTGTTGAATGACAGGTATTGATTATTGGAGTTTGAGCACTGGTTTCTGGTTCGGTTTGAATCATTGAATCTTATTGAATTAATTTCATTAGTATAAGCACAGTAGTTTCTCTCGCAGTTTGTATAAGCCAAATATGCACGAAGCTAGTATAGTTTACACAGAAACAGGCGTGTCCAAATCGATAAGAAATCAAAATTTTTATTGTAATTGCAGTAGTAACAATGATTTGAATTTTTGAAGGTGAAAGTTATCAGTATGTTACTCTAACTGATCAAATGAAGCGGCAGTTAGGCCTTCAAACAGAATTTACACTACAAACAACTTATGCTGCTGATGCAAGTAGTTCTACTGAAATGGAAAATAACTCAGAAGACACTAGCAAACTCTGGACACATGAAGAAAGGTCTCTGGAAGGAGACGAAAATGTTCTTTGTATTGTCTGTCATTGAAATTATACACGGTCACTTCAGCAAAATTCTCTTTATTTTCTAGAACGGCTGCTTCTTCATCATCTCCATTGATTATATCAATCATAAAATTGATCACAATATTTATAGCAACACCAAAAACATTATTTACATCCACTTCACTACATCAAGTAAAGTTTTCAGTAGATGACATGATCGACATGATTGATAATCAATTCATGTCGGAGCATATGTATTATGTATGTCACTCACGACTCCTCTAGGAGTGTTTTTTTATTTTATTTATCTGTATGCTCCAGAGGTCACATGACTGAAAATCTTCTCGCTCTCACTCTGCTCTTAGATGCGATTACAGAACATCTCAAATGTGTGGATACCAGAGTGACTGAGTTTCTTTTAAGCTAATCCATTAGCACTTTCAATAGACACATGGAAAAACTTCATTAAGAAAATATGTGATGTATAAAAAAGTATCTCTTCCTATGCACTACATGTAAATTATTTGTTATATCTACAAAAATTATCATTTAATAAGTACAATTAATAATTATACAAGTTTGTCAACATACAAGTCACACATACATATAGTTGTACATATGTTTATTACTCATTATGGATCTTGTTATCTCTTAGAGTACCTATTCAAATAAATAAAAAAAATATCAGATATTTTTCAAGAAGTTATCAAAAGTTTCAATAATGATTTTCTTGCAAGGGCTTATATGAGTATAAACTGAAGTTATTCTTTTTCTATAGAATGTATGGTGAAGGAAATATTCTAGATGAGTGAAATTAAAACATTGTGGAAATGCATTTCACTCCTTACAAGAAAGAAAATGATTCTTTATACAGGGTGTGTCTAAATAACATCAAAAAATTTCAAGGGGTGATTCCTTGTGATATTTTAGGAAATAAACCTCATGTAAACATGTGTCCCATCTTGCTTCATAGTAATATGGAGCTTCTTCTAGTGCAATTAGATTGGAAATAATATTACCAGTGGCGTTACAGTGGGTAAAGATATTCATGGTGAATGTCATTGTACACCACTGGTTTTTCTGAGTTTCATATTTTTATTAGATTGAACTATTGAAATAACAACTTTTTTATCTCCAGTGTGATTTTTGTATCTAGCTTAGTTTTTGAGGAAACAATAAAAATTTGATTTGACTCCAAATTTTAATGTAGGTGTTTTCAAGTCTTCCATTGATATGACTCAATAACCCCAATTAGAATCATTTCGAAATTTTGGGGCTTCCTCAGCCTCCATCCATACTGAATCTTGGCACCAAGGAAGCTTATACAGGGGGGTTATGAATAAAAACTATCAATACTTCCAACTTTAACATCCTGTATCTCAAAAACTGAGCCAAATTAGGACATATGTTTATATGAACTTTATTTGCTAGAATGTCACAAGGACTTTTTTGGCGTTATTTAGATACACCCTGTATAGTTCTTGTAATTTCCACAGACAAGGAGAACATGTATGTTCTGTAGCTACCTGGTAGGTACCCGGGTACCAGTCATCAGTTGTATTGTCTTGTATAAGAATATTTTGCTTACTTGAGGGCGAAACAGTTTCATAACAGCAACTTTTCCATAAAGCCCAATTTCTTTGATGGGTCTCAAACCTTCAGGTGTTACTAAATATATTTCTAGTCTAGTATTTTTTGCTACAATCAGATTCAAATCAGATGGAGACGTGAAATTACCTGAAAAAAATAGGGTTATTCAAGTTGATACATGGCTTGGTTTCATAAATACCGGTCACGCATGCTGTAACAGCCGTCGGCTTGTGTGCCGTAACAACGTAATTATAAGCCATTCTTGCAAAAATTCGAATTTGATTTCTATTATAGATGAATACTCAAAAAAATAACATTTTTGTCTCTGGTGCTAAATTTTATTTGGATTTGCCATTTGCCAACTTCTTATTCTTCTCAATTTTCGTCTTCTTCAGTTCTTCTTCCTTATGCTTTTACCAGAAACTACCCTTTGTCCACAACTGACATAACTACTAATACTACTATCACTACTATCCTATCTAATCTGAGATCTGAGTCTCTGTTCTGCGCCTGCTGGTTCCGTTTCCTGTTAGGGATGGCGATCTTTGGAAAAAGGATCGATTCTTAGAATCATTTTTGCTCGATTCGATTTTATGTGGAAAAAGCATATACGTATTAATAATCAATACGGATAATCTCTATCTGTTTTCATAGCGAAACATGAAGCCGATTTTTGAAGACAAATGACTATCCATCCATAAGGAAAAGTTTTGAAACGATCAGACACATACTGCTTTGATTGAAAGGCTAGTAAAAGTAGTTAACGTCATTGTCCACCGAAACGCATGTCTTTGATGACTACTATAATAGCGCATGGCGCATGCGTATCATGCCACCAAATCCTTATGGATATTCATTTGTTTCATATTTTTGGCTTCATCCTGGCACCCGTTATGATCCGTATTGTTTATTAATACGTATATGGGAAAAAGTCGGTTCACCCAAAGATCGAGCTTAGAAAAAATCGGTTCAATATCGCCATCCCTAGTTCCTGCTGTACAGTCACGTACAGTCAATTTTTCATCCCACGATGCCCAATTCCCACGATGCCCAATTCCCACGATGCCCAATTCCTACGATGTCCACCTTCATGTCGACGATTACGAAGATTGCCGAAGAGCGCAACGTTGCCAGATCAAGAGAAAAATTCAGAAAACGCAAGATTCCCACCATGCCCACTTCTCATATATTCCCACGATGCCCAATTCCCACCATGCCCACTTTCTTCAGATTCCCACGATGCCCACCTTCTTTAGATTCCCACCATGCCCACTTTTCATACATTCCCACGATGCCCGATTCCCACCATGCCCACCTTCTTTTGACTCCCACCATGTCCACTTTTCATACATTCCCACGATGCCCAATTCTTACCGCCAACCTTCTTTGGATTCCCACCATGCCCACTTTTCATACATTCCCACGAGGCCCAATTCCCATCATGCCCACTTTTCATACATTCCCACGATGCCCAATTCCCACCATACCCACCTTCTTTAGATTCCAAAGGTGAGCATGGTGAGAATCCATACGCATATATACAATGTGTTTTTGAAATAAATGCACATATCCAACACATTGATATGATATACGTTCTTAGGAATATTCCCATGATATCAGATTTTTCCTAATACTTCTAGTTAACGAGAAATATCATCCCAAAAATTGAACAAAATACGAGAAAAAAAATCACTTTAAAACAATTTAAATGATTGAACTCCGCGTGATTGTGCCTACCGCATGGAAATTCGAACAGAGGTGGTTGGAAAAATGGGTCTATCCTCAAATTTTATTTTGATCCCTAATTTCTTTTATTAGTGCCATTCGAAAGTAGGTACACGTAGAGCTTCCTCAGTGTTTGAAATATTTGCACTTATTTTCAATGCCACCCTGTATATATTAGGTACACATTTTTGACGTTATTTGTAGGAGACATTTTGTTTGCATCGCGGAATACTCTGATGATCGAAAACTGTGGGCATTTCGCGCACTAGACACAAAAATAAATATCCACGGTAATTTATAAATAATGATATAGTTCGGAAGAATTAAGAAATCGATACATATCTTATTATATTGGGGAGAGGGTTATATTCTTCTTGAATCTTGTGCAATAAGTTTTTCTTGTTTGGTTTCTTCTTGGGGTTTGGATTCGGTTCTAAAAAAACAATGTTATTGGTGATATCAATATTATTTATTAATTTATTATTGAAGTTATTCAATAAACATCAAGAAATGCCTTATCTTGCCGCGAGATCTTTATCATTTTCTAGTACCTATTCCACAAATTTACGAACATATTTTCGACGATTCACAATGGGGCAGGTTCGGGGAATCCCATTTTTATGTGAAAGGGCAATATTTTTACTTATCTGATGTCCTAAATGAATCCTATGATATACGATAGGGGAATCACGTAAAACATTTTGAACCACTATATATACGTATGCATACGTCCACTTCATTGAAAGTTTTACAATTTTAAATTGGTGCACGTGTAGCAACATATGAACTATATAGTTTTGCTTGCAAAGGACATTGAAGGATTTTAGAGTTCGAATCGTAAAAAGGGTATGTATCCGGGTATCAACGAATTGTTCAGACAAGCCATGGTTCCAGAGAGTTCCAAATAAGGTATATGAGAATTATGAGATTCAAATTTGGCAGGGGGTGTAGGATTCAAGAATTGGGGTATATGTTTCATACTCTCCCATCACTACCGGTTTCACAGGAAACGAACCCAACTTTTGATTTTCAAATGGGACACGACCCCCCCTATTTTATTTCATAATCGGTTAGGGATTATCATAACGAATTCAACGATACTGGGTTTGATAGGGTTATTTCTAACGATAAGAAGATATTTTCTGATAAAAACCTGATAAAACTCCCCTTTTCCCGATTTTACATGGCTCCGAATGCCTTCAAGAATAAATTTAAATGCCATGCATCTATTGGAACTGCGAAATTTTTAACTTTAGGTACATAAATTCTACTTTCTTTCTCACTATTTTTATCTTCTCTATTATCTCTTTCTATTTATCTTATCTCTCTTCTCACCCATCTCCTAAAAGTCTCTTTCTACGTTTCTTCAACTAGTATATAGGTACATATTTCATTAAATTTGGTGACCATTCACTATTAATATAAACTTATGTAGGCTTTGGTGGAAGCACAACCTCAGTGGTTTACCTTCTGGAGTCCGAACCATATGTCTTTTATCTGCCTACTCAATATGGATATAGTTTTCTAACTCAACTTATGTAAAGTATATGTCGTGGTATATAATAAACGTATTTATTATTATTATTATTATATTTGTGTTCTTTTTCCATATGCTCAATCAGCTCAATGGGTGTGACGGCGCAATATCAAAACTTTTCACTCTGTCACACTCAAATACTATTGAGCATATTAGCATAATATATAGAAACTTCGAACGCAAACATATTCGTAATCGTTTGAAATAACTCTAACCGTGCGATTATGGAAAAAAATATATATAAGGTGTCCCATTTGAAAATCAAAAGTTGGGGTCGTTTCCGGTGAAACCGGAAGTGATGAGACTCTCCCATCACTGAAACATCTATGCTGAAACTATCATACCTTCAGAACCCTGGAAATTATGGCATATGTCTAATGAATACGTTCACACCCGGTATACCGACAAATTATTATAGTCTGTGTTTATAGTCTCTTCAACAGAAAAGTTGATCCGATTTCATAATTAAACGTTCCGGCAGTCATGAACCACGACATGAATCAAAATAACAACGCAAATCAAAGAAATTCAAATAACTCCTCTTATTGGTCTTCTAGAAGCATGGAAAAACCGAATAACTGGCAGGGTAAATATATTTGTAGTGCTTGAATACTTTTATTTTTTTTTCTTGTTTGTTTTTAGCTTCGAAAAATCAGTGCACTCTATCGAAACAGGAACAGGACAATCGATCAAAACAACTGAATCCTAACAATGAGGCCTACTATAGTAGTCGTGGTGAAAAATGATGCATTTATGTTTTCTCAGAAATATTTATCAGCTGATCCATCTTATTTTGAGTTTTCCTGCTATTATGATATTCTCAAAATAACTAAAATAAACTTTTCCTATTATCATTTTATAACCACTTAGCCTATAAATATTTCAAAGTTATACTCTATAACTGTTTTCTAGTACTTGCTCAAGTCATTATACAGGGTGAATCTGAAAGTGAGATATTTTATTTAACAGGGTATATATTATCTGGCCAAACGTTGTTTTGCCAAAAATTGTTTAGGCAAAACATGTAAGATAACGGAGGTACATGCATTTTGAGTTTTTGTACATTAAAAATCTAATTTTATTGATCTAAGATTTATAAGAGAAATTATGATAAAAATGCGCATATACTGTTGCTCGGCGAATCCAAGACTCAGTGGTACAAGCTTCTAAAATAAAATCTTCGCGTCCTCGAATTGTTTCACTCGCATTTTACTACTACTACTACTTTCACAACCACCCTCTATAATTCAGCTATTTGCATAAAATATTGTCATCACGAATTATCAACTTCCTCACCAAGTTTTACGGGATTCCAATCATTCGATGAATATTGTAATGGATATCACCTTGTGTGATAAGGGGTTGTCAAGTGACATAGGGGATGAATGATGAGTATGTCGGTGCCGTCGGTGGTCGAGAGTTCAATAATAGTTATTTATGTAATGAGGATCATAAAGACGATTATTATGGTACAAGTCGTGAATGTTATCGGGCGAGGCGTAGCCTAGTAGTAGTAGTAGTAGTAGTTTTGTACATAGTTATGCATTTTGAATAAACTTTTTTGATCAAACCATTACATGTTTTCCTTATAGAATTTCATTATGGTACTTAGTACCATAAGACCATAATGAATTCATTATGGTACTTAGTCCCATAATGAGCTTCCTTATGTCATCAAAATTGAGTGACATAACGTTGTCATTATGACATGCCATCAGATAAAAGTAATTATACGAATCCACGTTCATTAATGAATTGCTCTTGAAGCCAACACAGTACAAATATCAGGACGAGTGCGGTTTCATGGAAAATTGTACATCTTGTGTAGGTATAATATGTAGTATGATTCAAGAAATGCAATTATTATAACTGCCTCTGAAAAAATTACGTGTCCGTAGGACGAGTAATTTTTTCTGGTAGTTTTTTGAGTTGAATTACCTAATGGCAACAAAATTAGTATTATAAATGTCAAATTTACTTCGACTACAAAAAAAGCTAGAGTATAATTCGGTAAGAAATTTAATTCATCAAACATTTGATTATGGCTGGTTGTAATGCTTTCAAAAGTTAGGTTCCGTTCACGATGTTCCGTTATTGTCGCTGGAAAAGTTGGGGCAAACTTTTTTCGCTGTCATAATGACAAAATCACGCGACTTGAGGGATTTTTCATACATGAATTGAATTGTCGGCCAAAATATCATCAGAAATGGAAATATGATGGATATTTCCGAAACCATGCAAGACATAGCTGTTGTTATTCTCTTTGATAACATCGTAGAAATATTTTATGAAAATTACTCTTGTAAACTGAAAAAACTGAAGAATACATTCGTATCAGGACCAGAATGACTATTTTTCATTTTCTTGTAAGTACAGGGTGTCCCTAAAAGGTCTCTACAAAATCTCAGCACGCATATTCCTGAGGTCAAAATAAGCCGATTTGAAGCTACTTACCTTAGCAATTTCAGACAAACCCAATCGGGTAATCTCTGTATTTAATATGGCACATTGCATTTTTTGTCAAAATCCATAAATCACTCTGTATGTCAGTCTTTATACAGGGTGAATCAAAAATGTGTACCAAGCTTTCTGGAGGTGATAGTACATTGAAAATAAGTATAGCTTGATGAATAAACTAATGGTCCAAAATGTATATTAAGGGATATATATACTTCCAAAGTTGATGAAATTTAAATAATTTTCCCGCATAACTTCAAGAGTCATTGGATTGAAATTTTCAGCATAAAAATAATAATGTATGCTGATAAAATACATTTTTCTGGTACAATTCTACACACTCCTAATATTGTTATAAAGAGAGTTTTTAGAGGGTGAGTTATGGTTTCTTGAATCCTAGAATCTTTTTTCGTGAAAAAATAGAAGCATTTGATAAAGTGAAAAAAGTTACATTAAATCGGTACTCCTATCAAAATACGAAAATTGTAACCGTTTTCGAGATATTTGAGTTTTTGTAGTTACATGATATCAGCAGATTAATTCATCGGTAACACTATTTAAGGATGCCATGATTTATTTTTTTCTCAATTTTGACGTTTATGACATGAACATTGTTATTATTAATTTCCTTGCTCGTTTTTTTTGCTTAGTGATATTATTACTGCGATTTCCAACTGGGATTTTAAGAAATTTCAGGCGTTATGCCGAGATATTTCCCGCTCGACGAGTTTAAAATTCTAGAACAATTTTGAGGATTTGGCAAAGATTTCTTGAAAAACAAAGTTTCAACGAGAAATAAAGAGATATGGTTTTTGGCCAAGAAGTTCGGGGCCTCTTGAAATATCATTACTGATGAATTCATCTGCTGATATCATGTTACTACAAAAACTCAAATTTCTCGAAAACGGTTACAATTTTTGTATTTTTATAAGAGTACCGATTTTATGTAATTTTATTCACTCTATCAAATGCTTGTATTTTTTCACCAAGAAGAATACGATTGTCTTCAAAAAATCATGACCAACCTTCTGAAAGCACCCTTTATAACAATATCAGAAATGTAGGAATATACCAGGAAAATGTATTTTATCAACATATATTTATTCAGAAAAATTCAATCTGGTGGCTATTACCGTTTAGTTTTGCGGGATAATTATTTCAATTTCATCAACTTCGGAAGACATTCAGTACATTGTAGTTTCGATCAGGTCAGCGGAGTTCATTGACGTCAGTTCCTTTATAAATTGCAAAAAAACGCTAAGCGCGCGATAATACCTAGGTAAGCAGTATCGAAAGGTAACGACCATTCCCATTGCGGAAAATTGCGAACCTAGCATCGATTCCGAATATAAATAGTACCCGAGTCGATAAGGCATTCATTCATTATCAACACAAGTCATTTTTCGCCGTCTTTCTAACGCTTCAAGCCTGCTGGTCAACCAAACGTTATGATGTGACTGTGAGAACTGTTTTTTTTTCAGTGTTGTTTTGCGTTGTGTTTATTTGGCGAACCATGATGTTCTTTTTCCTTTGCTAACCTGCCATGTGTCAACATTTATTCATGACCTCTTCATTTAATTAATAAATGTTAATTTTATATGAAAACTGTCCGGTCTCTTCATTTGGGGATGAATATGGTTGGGTGGTGAAATGATGAAAACCTCTCGTCAAAAACCCAAGCGAGTAGCTGAGTCACGACCTAAAGGAGGGTCAACATCTGAGTTGCGACAGTACTATCACATCCAGAAAGCAAGGTACACATTTTTGACTCACCCTGTATATAGGTATCTGACTGTCGGACTGTCCTCAAAAACGACACGACACTGGACGGTAATGGGCTAATATCAGTCTACTATCTAGGATATTCAAAACATATTATGCAATTTGAACAAAAATACGAATGATCGATCAATAAATAATATGGTTTTGAGAAAACAATCAAGGAATGAGTTGAAAAAGTATGTCTGAATTCGAATCATGAATTCATGCATGAATGCTCCGTTGGCAAGGATTTTTTAAATACAATAGAAATGTTGTGGATTCCCCGAACTGGTTATTATAGCCACATCTTCCGTCGCTGGACGCCTTTCACCTTTGTCTTTTTATTATCGGGTTGTTTCTCGGGTATGTGGGGGATTCCCCGAATTTCGACGATAAATACTTCGAGTAGGGGCCGTGTACGCTCATTTTAATTTTCATTGTCAATAGTTCAGAACATCAGAAGACGGTCTCCACTCGGAAGTCTGTTGTGTTGTTAGTTGTTATACTCGAGCAAACATCAAACGTTTCTGAATTCATATCATCTCAAAAGGCCATCGAAATGGACAACAACAAAGCGAATCAAATGAATCCAAATAATGATGCCTACTGGAAGAGCAAAGGGCTTTCAGAGAGACCTGCTGGATGGTTAGGTGAGTAATATGATTGAACATATCTGATATAACTTGATTAATTCAATATAAGTACAGTGTAAGTTCCACTTTGAATTCGCAATTCCCATGCACTTCATCACTCAGGTTTTAATGGTTTTACCACGTTTTACCATTATGGTATGCAGTCTGCACCCTAACTCTACATTTTTAGTTCATTAGTAGATACTTTGTCAACAATTCAATAGATTTCAGTAGATTTATTTTATTCTATACAAATTTCAGGAAAGGATAATGAAATAAACCCACATGACTTAAAATCTCAAATAGTAAAGTCGTTATCTCACTTTGGCACAATAACGACTCACCCTGTGGAAGATGTCACTTTTCATAACATCAATTTTTTCCCCGGAAAAAAGTGAAAACTTTTCTTCTTGGACATACACCGTTTCCCAGCTAAAATGTCCCCCCCTGTAAAAAATCAACCACGCGATCGAATGACTCGAAATTTGATCACCCAGTATATTTGATGATGCTCACTCGAAATATGCTGTTGAATAAATGGTAGGTATACAGGACCACACCGAAGTGCACACAAACTTTTCTATTTGAAGAGGGACACCCAGTATATGATTCCATATTCAAGTTGAGTTCATTACCACAAACTCAACAATGCCGGGTTTGATGGGTTTTTTTCAAACGACTACGTAGATATGGCAAAAAATCAAACGATTTCATGAAAACACCGATCTTTTTCAAAAGTTTCCACACACTGTATGTTGAAAATTATGCATTTCCGATCCACGTACATTTACAATGAATTTCTTATTTTATCATGCAAAACCCCCCTTTTGATTTTTGTGCATAATTTCCGGACACCCTGTATACCTACAAGATTGGAGTGACATTTCTGCGAATCCCGCATCAGGAGAGTGAATTCAGGTCAATTACAACAGATGTGGCTATGTGTTTATTGACTAGTGGTTCATAAAATGACGAAAACTACCTTGGTATAGTTTATCCAAAAACAATTGCAGATTCTCGTGCCGCACCTGCAGTCACTTCAAAGGAAACTTCATACACGCCGACGCCGCACAGTGCGAGATATTCTGCAATTGATATTGGATATACTTTAATAAAAAACATTTTGGGTCTCATCAAGGAGTAAATGATGGTAGGTTTTATAGGTAGTGGTGGAAATCTTCAAAAAAAATCTAATGAAAAAAAATTTTTTTTTATTTTTCTTATGCACGTTTTGACCTTAATCACACAAAGGTATACCAGAGATCAAATAGGTAATGTAATAACTAAATAAATAAATAGGTACAATAAATAATTGATAGTTCAAAAAAAGTTGAAGATGAAGAAAGAACCATTTTGGTTCAATCCCATGCCTTCCAGATTTTACAGTACGTCAATAATTATACAAAAGTGGTGGATTTGAGAACCACCTTATAATCAAGGGAACCACCTACTTTGAAACTTTCGCAAAAAAAAAACGTATCCGAGACATTCAATTACGCAGTTATTGAATTTCGTCATCATCACACTCTATTGAGTGTGTCCGTGAAGTTTGGAATACATTCGATATTTCTTGAACTGAAATTATTTAAAGAAAAATCTGGAAACCCGTCGATTTCCCATATTAATATTCCACATTTCACAACAAAATTTGATTACCCAGGGTACTAATTCAAGGTGATAACATCATAGGCATTCAGTTTGTGTAACACTGATTTTTTG